GCTTCTAAACGATAGTCATCCATGATATCGATAGATGTGCCGTGTATGCGCTCTCCTGAGCTCTCACTGTATCTTCGCCGTATTGTATCTTTCTCGGAGCACAAACCTATCAAACGTATCTGGAAGTATCTTAGCTCAATCAAGAGACCAAGTGCTGCCAGTGCGTCGAATGGATCTTGGAGAGCGGATGGAGGCTTGCGCTCGAGACAGCGAGGTGCGTCAGTTGGGTAATACGGCCGATGTCGCGCGTTTTTTGGTGAGATAAGTATATTATTTTGATGACTAAAATAATTCATATTTTGATGTTTTCGTAGGTTCATAGCGGTCGGGATGCGAAAGCGACTGAGTATTTCAAAGTTTCACTACCCGGGCGGATAGGGACCGCACCAACGACGAGGCCAAGAAGTACGATAAGAAGAATATGATGAGAGTGGTAGGTAAAACAGGGATAATCTAGTTCCTCGGAACCGAATCCCGTGTAGTGAGCGAAGGTTAGAGCAACGACTTCGTTCGATCAATGTAGGAACAAGGGTAAATGGCATATTTCAATCTCTCTAATCTTGGAATACGCCTGTATGTCCTGCAAGCTGTATTTAATCATGCACACGGTGAGTCTTCCTTCAAAATTCCCTTTTCCCTCGAGATGCCTAAACGAACCAACGGGCAATATCTGAACCTGCCTTTGCCTCGGCGCACCTAACTTATCTTGCGGATGACGCCGTCTGCATGACGAGGCGACGAGGCAACCGAATCCAAGGCAGCTGCGGCAGGCTGAGCTGCATGTCATCCAGACGACAGTAAGGCGTCCTCGGGTAGGGAATGATAGCCCGTGGCGATTCCGATATGCGGTAAGCAGGGGGGGGCGGTTCTGGAAATGAGTGATTGGAGATACGAAAGTGAAAAGCGCTGCAGTGAACCACACCAAATCATCAGTCAAGTATTTTCGGCGTGTGGATTGAGACAAGGCGGGGATGGCGAATCTCATCCCTTATTCAAGGTCACCGGTTGGTCAGCTCCAACGCAACATGTTGGGTAGTACAGCATGAAAATCCACAGCCTGCAGCAAGCTGCCTCTTTTGTAGAAACCGATGAAGGTCAGGCGGACACAGATGCGGCTCAACAAGGACAGAACCGGGCTGTCTTCGTCGACCCTCCTCTCTGTAAATTTACTGGCCTTTTTTATCGCCAAGCCAATACCCATGGCCTGTCAGTTTTTCCATTTATTACGACACACCGTCTAGCTGAATGATGCCTGGCTTGGAAATCTGCCTCGCGCCCACCTTCCCAACAACAAGGACCACGCGCAAGCAGGGAAAAGACTCCGCCTCATCATGGAGACGTCCACAATTTCTTCCTACCGAATCAAGCAGAGCGACCTAGAAGGATGGCTCAACACCCAGTTTGGGGCTGGCCAGAGCTCAGTCCAAGTAAGGCATCCGGCAAGACGTTTTTCGGAAGCTTTTCTAACGATTGCCTCCCGTTGATCAGGCAAAAGACGGTGACTACGTTGTTTCGGCTCCTAGAAGCATCAGTTCGGTACGTACTGGTACGAAGCCAGGTCTTCAATCTTCAATATCAAATTCCATGGTTTCTACATTTTTCTGACACTTTGCACAGAGCGAAGTCGAACACTTGAAGACGTCTGATTAGAGAGGACTCTATCTCAGACTGCCTAAGCAGGCTGTGAAACATCAGCGAAATTTACACATGAAGGCACATTACACGATATCGGCTAGGCTTTATGGCAGTCAGGCGTAGGCAGGCATGGAGTTGGCGGTGTCAGATACAGCCTTAGGCATCCTCGTGTGAAGGTACTTCGGGCAACGACTCTATTCTATTCTGAGTCTTCATTGGCTCGGTGGAAAGCTCGAAGAAAATACATGTACCACGAGTAAGGGCCAAAAAGTACCGTGGTCAGCAGATTGAGAAGCCTTGTTGACAAGAGCCCACGTTCGTGTGAAAGCCTAAAAGATAAAAACTTATTCCCCCCAAATGTTGCAGGCAGCCGAATGAACAACTACCCTTTCCGTTTGAAATCTTACAGAATTAAGCGCGATTGGCGGGCTGGATTTCAGTGATCGTTAGCTCCAAGCCTGGAGAAAGAATGTCGACACAGATGCAGACTCCCCTTAGCGCCATGCAGCAACATGACCCCCATGACCAATTGGTGGGGATTTGGTCGGATTCAGACCAATACATCATGCCACAAGCCGAAGAACGGGAGCCTTTGGATTTTCTCGAGGCTCAGAGGCTCTGGAGCCCGTTCAACGACCAGGGAAGGCTACCAACTCTTTTCAATACACCTGGCGCAAAGTTAGACGTGTGGGAGACAGGACTGCGCAACAGTAAGTGAGCCTCGACAAATTCTAGACATTCGCTTACCCTTCTCAGAGTTTCCAGAGGATATTCTATCCCTGTCTAAGCCCGATGCGATTCGCAAGCATTTTATTCGATCCGAAAAAGACCCTCATATTCGTCATGTGTAAGACTTGGGAAAAAATCCTTGAGCAAAGGAGGGTACTAACGATGGCCTTCAGCTTTGTCGGGTCAAACGACTCGAGATCGCCAATGAACTGTTCTCCTGAGATATTCCGGTTCATTTGTGCTTATCATCAGGTTGAGCCTTTCTTCCTGGAGGCTGTTCTTTCGTTCGGAAGACAGCCATACCCAATTGACTACTGCCTCGCTCATTTCAGGTCAAAGACACTTGTGGAAAGCAAGACGCCAGTTCCTCACGCACTTCCTAAATTTGGGAGGTCGGGAAATACAACTCACGTATCATACTTGTTACGTTCCGTCGAACACTCAGGGACAGAGGGCATCGACGGATGGCAGATCAGACAAGCTGCAAACTACCATACCTTTGACCTCGAGACTGGACGATCATTCTGGTTCACTATCAAGGCCAACAAAGTTTTCAAGAACCGCATAAAGGAATTGACTCCTCGCTTGAAGATTCCCTCTAAGCCAGAAACCGCGGATGGTAATATTGTTTCATATCTCAAGGCATCTCTGGATACCCACCTGCTTTACCTTTCCTGGTGTGACGAGGGCTGGCGTGACTTCATCAACGACTTCGAGACCTCGATCCGAAATATCGTGCTTCCCGCAAAAACTGCGCTAGTGGACGATCATATCAATCCGGAGTCCTCTCATTATGACATTCTACCCTGGGCATTGCAACAAAAGCGACGGCAGCGCACCATGTCGCACGGCCTATCCAGAGGCAACACCGGACTCACCAGCAATCATAGTGAGAAAAGGGCTCCTAGTACGGTCAAAGAGCGAGTCTTTTCCTTTAGTCACTCCTTTTTTGGATTGAAGACGACTAAATCAGATGAGGAACAGGGACTTCAATCAGAAAACGCAGCATACCGTCGGCAGAATCCCAACGCAGGACTTGACCCATCCGGATCCCTGGACAAACTACGTATCAAAGATATCCAGACTCTGTACAGTCGATCAGAACTAATGCAGAGATCGCTCTTAGTGCTAGAGCTGAACACGGGCGTACTGCGTGATCTACATGCCTATTATAGCAATCTGACGAAGACTGAACTCAAGGATCCAAAGTACAAAGAAGTTGTCAACGGTTTTCTGTCGAGGCTTGAATCAATCATCAGAAGGCTCGAGACTAGACGAGCACAGCTGAACTCACTCTCTATGCATCTCAACCAGAGCATTCAACTAGTAAGTTCACATCAAGAAGAGATGTCCCTACCAGACTAACCAAATAAGTACGAACTGGTTTTGCAGCAACGATCGAATCAGATTGGAATGGATTTTGCAGATGTTGCCCACGAATCAAACAGACAGATGAACATGGTTGCCGACAAGACATCTAGACAGACAGCTTCCATGCATGTTATCACTGTCGTGACCCTGATATTTCTACCCGCCACATTCGTTGCAGTAAGAGAGGTTTGCCCTCACCTTTGCGGCTTGCTATGAACTTCTGACGCTCTCAGACTTTCTTTCAAAGCGGAGTGTTGGCACAGGACGAAGATACCGGTGCTTTCAGTTTTCAACGGGAGAGCTTCAGACTCTTTGGTCTTGTTTGTGGGCCATTGACAGCCATTACGATGGGGACTTGGTTAGTGGTGTTCGTGTGTTTGAAATGGAAGGCGAAGAAACAGGCTCAGGCCGAGAAAGATCAGCGTGTTGGAATTTTGGGAGAAGAGAACGTTAAAAGACTGTAAGATGAGTGGCTTGGTGTCTCATGGTGGCGTTCGGGAGTATGTTCTTTATTTTGGAAGTGGAATAATAATGGCGGTATATGTACAATTCCATAGAATGTTCTTGCGATTACACGGGTGAGAGCCTAGCCCGGGCGTCTGTCTGCCTCGTCCGTTGACTGTGACGTACTTTGACCGGCTGGTGCCAGATGAACTCGGAGGTCACCTTTTCACCTTACTCTTAGTGGGCATCTTTCGGTGAACACATGGCCTGAAAATTCAGCCCTCACTCGAATGCATGCAAGAGACCAATCGAGGCGCACGTCTACACACCATCAGAACATCCTTGTCTGGTGTGAAGTGCTCGTTGAATGAAGGAAAGGCAATGGGAGGTATGGTTTTAGGCCCATAGGTCAGCTGTAGGGCTGCAGGTTTTCAGGCTCAGTCGCCGCAAGGCAGCCTGCCCGGCATCCAGTTCGCAAAGTGGATGGGCTCCCCGCGAACTCCCTGCAGGTGATGCCTGGTGCCCTCAATCCTTCGCGGGTTGCCTAAGCCCACCGTTGGCATGTTTCTGGCTGCTCTCTGGGTGCTGTCATTGGCACGACCTGGCAGTTTGCAGATTGTGGACGATCGCTACGCTTATAGCCACCATTGCCCACAACAACTTTGCTTCATTTTCACATGAAGTTCGTCGCTAGCTGTATTTCCTCTTCTTCATTCTTGTCTGGCGTGGATTTCACTCACTTGAATGGCACGACATCTTGCTCTCGTTTGGGCCTGCAGTAAACCTCGGAATTAATCGAGCGACCTGACAAGCCCAAGAAAATGTCCGATAATCACCTCATCACTGAACTGCGAGACCATGTCGCCAACTTTGTTGAAGAACATGGATGCTACGGCATTGACTATTATGGCGATGTGCGCGAGTTTGTCCCTCAACTTGCGCTTACCGACTTTTGGACGTTGGAGAAAATCACCGCCATCTTTTGTCACGACCGGAACAAATTGATACTGCACAGCGCCGTGGACATTATGAACCACTACATTGTAGTGTTCTCGATTTTAGTGTTGACATCTGGGGCCGAACACCTAGAACTTTTCACCCAAGAAGACATCAAGGACACAAGCCTCCCACTGCATTCGATACCAGAGTCATATCGTGAGTCGCGTCACAAAGAGGCATTCGAGGATTTTCTCAAAGCCCAGTGGAAGTTCTGTCCACTACACTTCAGCATTGGAACAAATCCAAAGCCAAGCAAGAAGAACTTGTCGCCTAGAATGATTATCCCTATTTCACCTGCGGGGAAAATAAAAATCAATCCTGAAGCGAAAGAGGAGATCGATGCAGCTGTCCTCTACAAAGTGGAATTCCACCCTCACTCTACCCTACTCACAGCCCCTGTAAGTTGAGATCGTAACGTCTGACGGAGATGAAAGAAACTGAAATATGTGTCAAGGTCGTTTTCAAGGAGTACCTTAAGTCTGGTCCAGAAATCCAAAAGCTATATGACAACGAATGGGCCATGTATACTCAACTGAAAGAAGACTCCTTCAATCACATTGTGAGGTATCATGGGTCTTTTCAATGTCTCGATAGACGGACAATAGTTCTGGAGTATGCACCTGGGGGTGACCTGCTTTCTTACTTCAGAAAGCGAAAGCCCCCAAGCACAGACTGGCACCGAAAGCAGTTTTGGCAGAACTTCTTCGGACTTCTCGAGGGTTTGGTAGCCATTGACGACCTGACGCGGTATGGCGACCAGTCAAGAGATACGTGGCACTTGAAAGGGTGAGTATTCTGTTTGTTCGTGCAGGAATCCTGGCTGATACTAGAGAAGAACGCATCAAGATATCCGCCCGCAAAACATCTTAATATGTGGAGAGCCGTCGGATGATGATTACTCTGTGCCATTCAAGTTCGCAGATATGGGTTTGGCGCACATACGCAAGGTGAAGAACGAAGGCATTGACAGATTTGCCACAGATCACTTTGGCAACGGAATGTATAGTATGTTCACGGCAAACGAATGAACTACTAGCCCAAACTCACAAGGAAACAGGCGCCCCGGAGGCCTTTCGAGATGATGGAGGCACCAAAACTATCCGGCACAAGAGTGACGTCTATTCACTTGGTGGAATCCTCAGTGAGGCTCTGATATGGGCTCTCTGGGGAGAGCGAGGCCGAGAGGCTTACCAAGCAGAGCGTGTTGAAGCTACACGTGAGATCAGATTGAAGGGCGGCTATCACGAGGGAGCCTTCCATGACGGCGATGGGCTTTTGACCGTCGTCGAGAGATGGCACGAGCGGGCTGTCGATCTCACTGGTGGCAAGGCAGAAGCTTTGAGCCAGCTCATCGTGAAGTCAATGCTCGCCGCTGACCCGGACAGACGGAAGACTGCTGCTGAATTACTCGAGAATTTCACGGCTATTATTCCAACCTTGGAGTCGGACTCGAGCCCACGGAACTACATGTCTAAACGACAACAAGGATGGCCACTGTCCCCTCTATCGCTTGCAACTCGATCCCAAACGACACCGATTGGACCGAGAGATACATATCAATCCCCAACGCCAATCGCACGCAGTTCCCGAGTTTCTTCGATGCAGACGAACAAATCATCCATCGCAACTTTCCTCACTGCCTCTCCAGATCTCATGGAACCATCCATGAGCCCTCTGAATGTCTCAACACATGAATACACGCGTCCTGTCGATGCGCTCCATATCGGCAGCCGCAGTGATCCCCGATTTGGACCTCAGAACATTTCGTCTGGCCCCGGCTGTAAAGGAAAGCTTCCTGTTTCTTATTCCCTTCCGTCACAACAGGAATGTCCATTTTTTGACGAAACATCATCATCACGCTTCGGGACAAACAGGACTTCACTGCCCATCCGGACTGGAAGTAATTGGAAAAAGACCACAGCCCAAGAACCGGGACGTCAGTCTCCACAAATTTTATCTCCTGTTTCGACGCTGAATTCGAGACCTGCGACTAATGTTGGGAGTACTATGTCCCCTCAACACCTGTCGAATGGGGAATCGTCGTCCCACGTATTCCAGCAACCCAGCGCACTTCAGCATGCCAGACCATCTCTCGCTGGAATAACGGTGGGATCCGGAAGCGGTGAGAGATCGCAACGGAAAACTAGCTCGGAGCCACCGATCACCATTGATCAAATTTGGCAGACCTGTTTTGAGCCGGGTGGCAGAAGTACTCATCACTTCGGCCGCAAACTTCTCAGATTCAATTCCGAGACTGAAGATCCTCTGAAGGCATTTCCCGCATTGCAGAAAACTTTGAAGAGGCTCAAAGGAAACAATGGAAGAAACCAGGTAAATAATTGACTGTGACTGAGCCTAATTTCGCCTGAAGCTAACACATCTTCCTTTCCAGATATTCGTCATTGACGATTCAAAGTCTATGGCTATTCACCGAGAGCAAGTGGCTCGCACTTGTCGGGTCTTGACCAAGTTGCTGAAAAGGGGGCATGTCGATCCTGATAAGGAATTTGAATTGTTCTTTGCATCTGAGGGCAACCCTATTAGGGAGAAAAATGGTACAGACCTCCAGCTTGCGGTGCAAAGGCAATCTTTTACCAATCATCGTTGCGAAATGCACACGATTCTTGACCAGGTAGCTTCGAGAGTCATCGAGGAGGAGCAGCCAGTCAGTATCTACGTGTTGACGAATGGCCATTGGGACATCCGTACCCCGAAAAGTATCTGCAACGTTGAAAAGCCTATTGTACGGCTCGTAAAGCACATTGTCGACAATAACAAGCAGTCCAACTGGGCCATGGTTCAGTTCATCAGCTTTTTCAGAGACCCACCTATCGAGGCCGATGAACATGGGAGGGCGCGATTGAAGTACCTGGACAACGACCTGAGAGCAGATCTAGGACTTGAAAGGTATTTCATCTCCCCTTCGTTAGATGAATGCAGCTAACAGTCTCATTAGAGATATCGTTGACACCCGAAGCTCCAAGAAAGATGTGAGAAAGATTCTACTAGGATCTTTATCACCAGAGGCAGATGAATCGCCATCAGACTCAGATTAGATGTACAGAACAGCGATGCATTACGATGTGGGGAAGTAGTGTTTACAGATTTATGAGCTATGACAAGACAAATTTAGATACCCAAAGAACGGTTAGATAGATAGAATTTTGAGAAAAGATTATTAGGGGAGTCAGCTTGCCCTTTAAGTATCGTTGTATTTACACAACCATCTCGGTCGTCTCTGTCATTATCGCCGTTGGTGTTGCTATCTTCGTCTCTGTCCTATGTCTACTGCCTTTTCCATTGTTACCCGTTGTTGTCTCTGTCGTCGTCACTGACCTCGTCACAATCTCATTAAAGCCTTCAAGTCCATAAAATCAGGAACAACTCTCCATGGAAAATACAACGCAGCCGTGAATGCAACACGAAAACAAGCGTTCTTTTCTAGGAGAAGCTCAAACAGGGCCCGATAAGAACCTAGCTGAGCAACCGCATCGGCCTGAATGGCCACGAGGACACCGGTCCCCACACGGCGACAGGTCCCTGCTGCCAGCTGGCCCAAGCTCATGCAGGTCCGGGGATCGTTCCGCCTAACGTGGCCCACAACACCTCTGCGCCATCTCAGTTTCACTTTGTTTCTGTTAGCCGAAACCCATTGTCCCCTCAGACATCCTCATATCGACATGGTATTCTCTTAACAGCAACCTTGAGGGATCATCGCTGACGTAGCGGGTTTCCGGGGCAGCTCACAGCAGCTCCCGCCCGTTGCTATCTCAGGCACCCGTGACCGTGACTCGTCCCCAAACGGTAGCATTCCCAGCGAGACCGGCGACTATCAGCCAGCTGTTCGACAGCTACCTTAGCTTCTCCCTCCTCCTCCCAATCCTCCTCCCCTCTCCCCACTCTCCATCAACAAACGCAAACCACCCATCATGGCCCGAAATCAACCACCGACGATGCTCTCCCTCCTCCTCTCCGCGGCCCTCGCATCAGCCGCCCAACCCGGCGCCGCCCCCGCCGTCGCCGCCCCGATGCGCGACCTGACCTGGGGCCAGCTCAACTTCCTCCACACGACCGACACCCACGGCTGGCACGGCGGCCACCTCCTCGAGCCGCAGTACTCCGCCGACTGGGGCGACTACGTCTCCTTCGCCGCCCACATGCGCCGCAAGGCCGACGAGCGCGGCGCCGACCTCCTCGTCGTCGACACCGGCGACCGCGTCGAGGGCAACGGCCTCTACGACGCCTCCGCCCCCAAGGGCCTCTTCACCTACGACGTCTTCCGCGAGCAGACCGTCGACCTCATCTGCACCGGCAACCACGAGCTCTACATGGCCGACGCCGCCCAACGCGAGCACGACATCACCGTCCCCAACTACAAAGAAAACTACATCGCCTCCAACCTCGACTACATCGACCCCAAGACCGGCGAGCGCGTGCCCCAGGCCCAGCGCTTCCGCCGCTTCAAGACCAAGAACCAAGGCCTCGACGTCATCGCTCTCGGCTTCCTCTTCGACTTCACCGGCAACGCGAACAACACCGTCGTCCAGCCCGTCGAGGACACCCTCAAGGAGGAGTGGTTCACGAAGCTCATCGGCGAGGAGAAGCCCGACCTCTTCGTCGTCATCGGTCACGTCGGCTTGCGCATGCCCGAGCTCAAGAAGATCTACACCGCCCTGCGCAAGGAGAACTGGAGCGTGCCGATTGCCATCTTCGGCGGCCACGCCCACGTCCGCGACGCCCTCAGCTTCGACAAGGACGCCTTCGCCATGGCGAGCGGCCGCTACTTTGAGACCATCGGGTGGATGTCCGTCGACAACATCAAGAAGAGGTCCAAGAAGTCCGACGAGGTCTCCGCCGAGGCCGTCTCCTTCACGCGAAAGTACATTGACAACAACCTGTACGGCCTGCACCACCACACCGGCCTCAACGAGACGACCTTCCCCACCGACCACGGCCGCAACGTCAGCGCCATGATCACAAAGGCCCGCAAGGCGCTTGACCTCGACTACAAGTACGGCTGCGCGCCCAAGGACCTGTGGATGAACCGCGTCGAGTACCCGAGCGACGACAGCATCTACACCTGGCTCGAGAAGGAGGTCCTGCCCGCCGTCATCCACAACAAGGACCGCAAGGACGTGCCCCGCCTCGCCATCGTCAACACGGGCGGCATCCGCTTCGACATCTTCAAGGGCGCCTTCACCAAGGACAGCACCTTCATCGTTTCCCCCTTCACTAGCGGCTTCAAGTACATCCCCGACGTCCCCTACGGCGTCGCCAAGCGCGTCCTCGATCTGCTCAACCAGGCCGGCAAGATCTTCGAGGCCGACACGCAGGACGCGCGCTTCATGAACATCCCCGAGATGATGTACCCTACAGGCGACATCCTCAACGCCATGAAGAAGGCCGACGCCGACCAGGAGCCCCGCCGCCTCGAGCTGCGTTCCGAGCAGCACCCCCTTGCCGACGACGAAAAGTCCAAGCCCGACCTCGTCAGCGGATACACCACGAAGGACGACCTCGGCACCGACGGCGACGACACGGAGCACACCCCGATCCCGTCCTTCCCCGTCCCCAACTGCATCCAGACCGCCATCGACTTCCCCAAGGAGGGCGAGCCGGAAAAGGTCGACCTCGTCTTCATCGACTTCATCCTGCAGTGGGTAATTGTCGCCCTCAAGTTCAGCGGAGGTGACTACAGCGACAAGGACGTGCTGACGTACTCCGACGAGACGCTCACCTACAAGATGGGCGAGTGGATCAAGGAGAATTGGAAGGGCGACTGCTGAAATAGAGAGAGCGTAACAGCGAGATTGAGCAGTAGAGCAAGACTTCTCTAGATGCCGGCCCAGATCGCCATCTTATTAGATTGATTATTTAGCCTCGGGTATATGAATGGTGGGAGGAGTTCATGGATCAGTCTGGGGCCCGTTGTTTCTTCTTTTGTTTAATCGGGCGATATTACACGCATAACACACTTCATCTAGATCAGACAGACATTGGCTTAAGGGAATATCGGACACGAATGGGACGGGAAATTGGGACGGTTTGGGGACTTTTCGTCTGGTGACATAAGATGCACGAGAACGCAGCAGACTGCAAATGACATAGCACCATCCATCTTCACATCGCGACTTCAAGCTGTGCCAAGCCGACGATCGCGGTGCCCTTTCCGCTTGGTCGGCAAATGTGCTCATCCATCCCTTTGCCCTCTTACCTGTGCCTGTCAGTGTCACTCGCTCACCTGAAGGAGCCCATTCTTCGTATCGTTCCTGCGAGCGGACTACGCCCGTGCCTGGCAAGCAGAAAACGGCCGAGGCGAGCTGGCATTACCTTCGTGTTCGTTGTCTGCGGCGGCTTGCCCCCCTCCCCTTTTCCCTTCCATCCTAACACTCGCTACACGCATGCATTTGCCTCGTGGCGCACGGCAGAGGCCGAAGGACAAGCCCAGCCATGCCAAGATCAGATCGGGAGCAGATAAGGTAAAATGATCGATCAAGAAGTTGATGAGAGAGAGCAAGGGGAGGGATAGAGGGAAAATCTTTCGCATGAAAGTCAAGTCTCGTTTTTCACGAGTTAAAATGGAAACGCCCGGGCGGGTGCAGTAGTCGTGGGCGCGGCTCGGCTTTGGCGCGGAATCGAGGCGGCGACGCTATTGACAAGCTGTCAGCTGAAGGGGTTACCTCTTAGCCAGGCACGGCACAGCTCGTGGCTCTCTGCAGCCAACTGCGAATTTCTTTACAGACCAGCGCATCCCAACGATCCAAAGAAGGGGCGAGAATGCGCCTCCTCCTATTTCTCTGGTGTTTGCATCGGCCGCCGTCCCGCCCCCATTTCCCTCTCCTCGGTTCAAGTAGATAGGGACGAGATAGTTTGTTTGAGGTTATTTGCCCTTGCTGGATTATCGACTATGTGGTGGTGGGGTGGAAAGGGAACGGCGCCCTCATTGAACATCATCAAGCTGACTCGAGACTCGCCCTGGGAAGAACCTAGACGCGGAAGAACGAGTGGAAGATCCGGCGGAGGTTTTTGTTTAGGGCGAGACCACATGTTGCACGACTCCCGAAAACAAGAGGGTCGGACAGTGGAAACCCAAAAAACAGGATACAATGTTTCGCTGTGTTGGCTGTGCCTGAAGATCTCAATCGAAGTTCGGACACGTTTTGACGTCGTCTGATCCACCTGCACCTGGTATTCTGATGTCAGCGGTCATGGCATTCCCGTATCGACATGGAATGATCGGGGTGCATTGTCGAATTGTCGGGTCCTGGGTCCTTTGGGTTTCCGTCAACCCCATTGCCGTCGTCCAACCTAGGAGTTTCAAGGTCCCATCAATGCTCGGATGAACTGCCTGGCCCAGCAAGCTTCAGCTTCCAAAGGCTAAAAAGACGGCACAAGTCCAGGGAAAACCCCTATTTCCAATCAGCTTGCAGTACGTACCCCGTTCATCGCGTGTTGTCCATTTGGCGTCTTGTTTCCTTTTTTGATAAGCCTGGCTAAATGCCCCTTGCTTGTTCTCCAAGCTTGCACTAGCTGGTCCCCAGTGTAAGCGGTGGATGGGAGCGTAAGGCAGGTGAGTAATGTACCTTTCAGTTGGCCGAAGCTCGCAGCAACAAGCAGACACGACGACGAACACGATGGAGTCAACATTCGATGCGACTGACTAGCGACAAGAGTTCTATCACTGCGGGAAACTCAAAAGAGATGAGTTCGCGGGTGTGCTGTTGCAGACACCCTTGATCCTGGTGTCCCATTCAGGTGGTATTTTCCGGGGATGCACTTATCAGTTGCTGTGTCGCTTTATCGGTCGTCGTCACGAGGTCGTTTTCGACCCTTCTTCCGGGGTCAATTGCATTGTAGGTAAGGCTTTGGCCGCTTTGCAGCTCTTGGTTTTCCAGGGGTCTTGCTGGTTTCTCGACGTCCTGTTGGCTCCCTTTGCAGCCTATTCGGACTTCGTCACAACTCGCGCCGGCTTAGTGCCAGGTGTGCCTGAGCCCTGTCTGCAGTCTCCTTGCAGGTGCAGGGCAGCGGTGCCTGAAGGACTCGTTTCTTCCCATTCGGCCGGCCGCCCTCCCCCCTCCCAAAGTGTATTGACGTGCACGCGTGGAGACCCTGTTCAAAGGAAGCGAACCTACGTCAAAAGGGGCAAAGGGTTGAAATTGCAACGCACAGTTGCTAGTACGGCCGTCAGTCGGGGCGGCGAGGGACCTTTCGACGGTGTCGTGTTGTCGCGCACTCACCGGGCTGCCGTTTCATTAAACCGCCAGCCCAAAGAGGTAAAATGTGCTTAGGAAGAGGCCTGTTCGTCATCTCCACAGAGCACACGGTCGTGGTCCACCCTCTCTATCGACCGCGACGACGTCGCAATACACTCCGTTGCGTTGACAGCGTCCGCCCCCCCTTTTTGCCGAAATTACGCACGCATAATCCCTGTATATACATGAAAATTTGCCCAACGCCACGTAGATATTCGTAGTACGGCAATTGACCTATTCTGATGGCTTCAATTGATCTATTTCTATTGAATCTCATTATCTGAGGGCATCGTGATGCCTCCTAAACGCCGCCGCGCGGCTCGGCAGGCGGATGATGACCCTTCTGGGCATCGTCCGTCACCCATCGCCAACGGTACGCGGAAACAACGACGTATACAACAACTGGCACAGGACGCCGCCAGAGATCCTCCTCAACGCTCTGCCTCGCCGTCGATCAGGATCGTTACGCCCGCCGAGAGGGCTCGCCGGGCTGCCGCCGCCGAAGAGGCCGCCGAGGAGGCCGCCGAGGAGGTTATCGTCGCCGAGGCTGGACCCGAGACTAATGATTTGGTGGCGGCTGAGTCTACATCGCGAAGAAAGCGTGTACTTATAGCCCCTCCGTCATCACGAAGAGCTCCAAAAGCGTCCTCTCGCCAAAAAGCAACGACAACGCAGAGGAAGCGAAAGAAGGATCCGCCGCATACGATCCGGCTCCGAAGTACTCTGCCTTCGTCGATGCCACCGTTTCGACCAGACTCGACCCCAGTTAACCCAACCCCTCGTCAAACCACTCGATTTGCGGACGATACGCCTACGGCCCCTCGCCATAGCGCTGATGATACGTTTATGTCGTTCCACGATGTATTTGAAGAGGAGGACGATATGGGTAACGAGGAACCAACTCTGCTACAAATCCAGGTTACCCGTGGCCCAGCGCTCAAGGGTAACGGTTTACCTGTTCTCGATCTAACCATCGAGAGCATCGCGTATAACAGATTCAGTATTGCTCCTGTATTAGATGCGAATAGTAGAGACTGGGAGGCAGACAGCGGCGCCCAACTTGAGGCAGAAGTGGCTCACTCGTATATTGTGAAGAAGGCCAATATCGCTGTTGTCGTTGCTTGGAGGAAGCCCACCAACGCATCTAAACCAACACCAATCTTCACTCGGGTCTATCCGTCTACTGGAGGGGTCACTTGGCCAAGTATTCCATGGGTTGATATTGTCCCCTCTCTTGAACAAGCTGAAGAGAGGGGTGAAGTCCACCTCACCGTCAAGTGGCAATACAGCGCCGTACCAATCTCTGGTGGTATAGTGACTGGCGTACGAACGCCTCGAAAAGGTGGCCGAGCAGGCGTTTCAGCCGGCATGCAAGAGGCGATCGATCGTGAGGCTAACGATCCTGCAAACGTCGAGCGTCGGAAGGAGGGTATGCACAGACAACTTCTCCGTACGCACATCTGCCCAGAGTACCAGAGATGTAAGAATAGTTCGGGCGACGAGAAGTTCAACTGGTGCTATATACTAGGCCAGAAGCACTACAAGATCAAATCTCACCATATAGAGAAGTGGGCGAAGGCTATTATGACTGGACAGGCTGGCGTTGACAATATGGAACCACCTAAAGAACTGCTTGGTGAGATTCTTCACGACCAGTTTATAGAGGATCAGAAACGCCAGGGCAAGAGAAGTAAGAATATCGTGGAGGTTGATGATAACCAGGAGACGACAGTGATGACGGAAGAGAAGGCTGAAAATGCCGCACTTCCATCATCAGGGTCAAGATCTGGCCTAACCAACGCCAACAGCAACGCCATCGTCAATATATACGGCAACGCGGGGGCGCCAGATCGTCATCTTCAATATCCTAACCCATACGTACAGCTGCCGCCGCCGGCGCCGCCGCCGCCGGCATATTGGCCATATGCGAACATCTCACAGTATTCGTTGCCAACTCTTCCGCCATTGAACCTTCCAAGCACTCGTCAACCAAGTATCGCACTCCCGATTCGTTCGTCCTCGCCAGTGGTACCGGATTCGCCTCGAAAAGCTCTAGATCAAGTGGCCAGCTTCATCAAGTGGTTTATATCCGTCCGCGGCAAGCGATATAACGTCGACGAAGGGTTCAGAAAGAAGCTACAGAAACTGCGATCAGTAGACAGTAGCTTGCGGGCAATTCGCAAGTTACCAGATATTTGGTTTACTGAACAGGGTTTTACTCAAGATCTTACCGAAGATGTCAGGAACTCGATCAAATCCTTCATAGACAACAGCGCCTACTACGGAGGGCAGTCTGACGCCCTCTCCGACGTGGTATCTCACTCTGAACTTCATTCAAACCATCGAGAGTCAGAAGGAGATGTTTATACAAGAATATACGCTGGATTGCCAGGAGGGACGGCGGCGGCGCCAGTTGAAAACTCTGCGGCGCTAGTTTCAGGCGAGTTGGGGTCATCCCGACATATCGACGCCCTAGTGCCACGTCAATCCATCGAGCAAGAGATCCGTGGTACGCCAGTTGAAGTTGGTCGACG